CAGCCCGCGCTCGGCGCTGATTGGCTGCCGCTGGCCCGCGCTCGGCGCTGATTGGTTGCCACCGGTCACGTGCCCGCGCGCTGATTGGCCGCGCCTCACCCCTCCCATTGTGTTCTTCCCGCCCTTTTTCCTCCCCTCACGTTTCCCGCCCTTTTCTTCGCCCTCACGCTTCCCGCCCTTTTTTATCGGCATTTTCTGCCCTCTTTTGCCCACATTTTGTGCATTTTTCCTCTCATTTTCTGCCTTTTTTCCCCCCACATTTTCTGCCCTTTTAAATTCGCACTTTCTTCCCTTTTTAAATCCCATTTTCCGCCCTTTTTTACCCAATTTTTGGCCTATTTTTGCTCATTTTTTGCTGTTTCTCAGCCCAATTTTCGGGCTATTTTTGGGGCGTTTTGGGCCCAAATTTATTTCCTTTCCCAGCCTCATTTTTGGTCACCTTTTGCACATTTTTAATGCGTTTTTCAGCCCCATTTTTGGGCTACTTTTCCTCATTTTTTTCTGACTTTTCTCATCCCCATTTTTGGGCTACTTTCCATCATTTTTCCCTTTTTCCCACCCCCATTTTCCATATTTTTCCCCATTTTTTTATCCCCTTTTTTTGCCCCGTTTTTCCCCATTTTTTGCCCATTTTCCAACCCCATTTTCCATATTTTTCCCCATTTTTTCCACCCCCATTTTCCATCTTTTTCCCCCCATTTTTTTGCCCCATTTCCCCCCTTTTCCCATCCCCATTTTTTTGCCTTTTTCCCCCATTTTTTTGCCTTTTTTTGCCCAGTTTTCCCCATTTTTTGCCCCATTTTCCCCCCATTTTTCCCATGGAGACCCCAAATTCCCATTCCTCCCTGGCAGAGCCTTTATTGGGGATTTTGGGGTCCTTCACCCCGATTTTGGGGTCACTCACCCCGATTTTGGGGTCACTCACCCCAATTTTGGGGTCCTTTACCCCGATTTTGGGGTCACCGCTCGCCTTTATTGGGGTTTTTGGGGTCACTCACCCCAATTTTGGGGTCCTTCACCCCAATTTTGGGGTCACTCAGGCCGATTTTGGGGTCCTTCACCCCAATTTTGGGGTCACTGCTCGCCTTTATTGGGGTTTTTGGGGTCCCTCACCCCAATTTTGGGGTCCTTTACCCCGATTTTGGGGTCCCTCACCCCAATTTTGGGGTCCTTTACCCCAATTTTGGGGTCCCTCACCCCAATTTTGGGCTCCTTTACCCCGATATTGGGGTCCTTCACCCCGATTTTGGGGTCACCGCTCGCCTTTATTGGGGTTTTTGGGGTAACTCAGGCCGGTTTTGGGGTCACCGCTCTCCTTTATTGGGGTTTTTGGGGTCCCTCACCCCAATTTTGGGGTCCTTTACCCCAATTTTGGGGTCCTTTACCCCGATTTTGGGGTCACTGCTCGCCCTGCCACCAGTGGTAGAGCTGATCCGTCAGGATCCCGGTGTAGGTGACCACGGCCGTGGCTCCCTGCTCGTACGCCGTGCTGGGGGGAAAAACACAGAATTTGGGAAAAAAATACAAAATTCGGGGAGAAAAACCAGAAATTGGGGGTGAAAACCACAAAATTCTGGGAGAAAACCCAAAATTTGGGGGGAAAACCCCAAAATTTGGGGGGAAAAACCCAAAAATTTGGGAAAAAACCACCAAAATTTGGGGGGAAAACACAAAATTTGGGAAAAAAACCCCAAAATTTGGGGGGAAAACACAAAAATTTGGGAAAAAACCCCCAAAATTTGGGGGGCAAAACCCAAAATTTGGGGAAAAACCCAAAATTTGGGGAAAAACCCAAAAATTTGGGGGGAAAACACAAAATATTGGGGGAGAAAACACAAAATTTGGGAAAAAAACCCAAAAATTGGGGGTGAAAACCAAAATTTTGGGGGAAACCCCAAAATTTTGGGGAGAAAACTCAAAATTGGGGTAAAAACCCCAAAATTTTGGGGAGAAAACCCTCAAAATTTGGGTAAAAACCCCAAAAATTTGGGTAAAAAACCCAAAATTGGGGTAAAAAAACCCAAAATTGGGGTCCCCAAAGCAATTTTTGGGTAGAAAAACCCAATTTTTGGGGGAGGTCCCGGGGGATTTTGGGGTTCCCGGGGGATTTTGGGGTCCCGGTTTTTTTGGGGGTCCCGGGGGATTTTTGGGGTCCCGGTTTTTTTGGGGAGGGGTCTCACCGTATCCTGTGCTGGGTCTGGGGGAGGTTGAGCCCCTCCAGGAGGGTCCCCGCGGCCGAGCCCACCTGGCCCAGGTAACCCCGG